TCCTACCTCTTCCAATATTCTTGCACCCCCATTGTAAGAACTTCAGAGCATTCAAGTAAGGAACACGCACTCGATCATCTCTTAGAATAGACGTAGGGCTCCGACCTGAACCAATATAAATCCCTGTGTCTTTTGGATGCTACCATTATCTTTCTAGAGCAGCGCGGCAATCGTATAAATTTACTAGTCCGGTTTGCAAAACACCGACACCGTCGAAGCCTCCAAGTCACATGGAAAAGGTAGCAAGGGAAAAGGTCAAATGCAAACGCTCTCACCATGTTAGACCTTGAAGACTGCATCGTTGGCAACAAAATTTAATACCCACTAAAAGAACATCAATTGTAGGACCTCACCAAGGAACACATGCTTAGGCCAGTCTCAGTGGGGGTTTTATGGCCCAGTTTCAACACACTCATATTTTGAAACAGTGCATAAGAGTTTCATTCCCATGAAACTGTCTCTACTCCCATAAAACTTTCATCATTTCTCTCTTCATGAATACAGTGCCATATTAGCATATTTAATGCCCATGAAACTCTATGAAACTCCCATTGAGATTGGCCCTTCAATCCTTCATCATCAAACTAGAGTGTTGGAGAAATAAGATCTTGTCGAAGAATAGACTCAAATAAGAGGTTGAAATCGTCGCATCGGAAGCCAAACAACTTCTTGCTGAGATCAGTGGCGAACGCAGCCAACAACATAGGAAGGGCTCATCCACCTCTCTCCTCCTCTTTTTCTTCTTCTTCCTCCCTCTTTTCTTCTTTTACTTCACCTTTGTCCAAAACTTGCACTTAGGGGAAGGCGGGCTCCATTGTGTTCGTGTAGGTAGGGGGCTAGAGCCCACCCTGCAACCCCAATAAATCTATCCTTGGTCCTGATAATCACATCAACTGTCAAGATCTGAAGAGAAGACAACAGATCTAACATAACATACTCCCACTAGACTTTCATCGCTGCCAAATCGAACGTCGTCGAGATAGAGAGAGATCAATGGGACCTTACTCCGATGTGCCATCGTCGCCACTATCTCGCAATTGTGTCAAGAAACCACTGCCTAATGAAATAATGACCAACAAAAATCTAAGTCAACGTCCCACTCTTCTAGTCACCGGTGAAGTCGCCAATAAGGATAGAGAAAAAGGGCCAAGGTGGCAATGGTAGTTGCGGGGCATGGCTGCCGACTAGTATGCACAATTGTGTAGTCGCTGACTTGGATCTTCATCCCTACAGAAACACCGACGAGGGGATTGTGGTGGCATTGTGATTGGCTGTTGACGGTCAGCAATGCGGGTAGATTGAGAGGGAGAGAGACTGTGTGTGTGAGAGAGAGAGAGTAGGGAGATCAGGAGACGGAGAGCGAGTCATAGGGGATAAACAGGATGAGTAGTCACGACTGTGCATGCGTGCGACATAGTTGCTGGTTAGTCCACAGTGATTATGAAATCTAGACTTTCGGCCTTATGTTGTTTGATTGTGGTATTAAATTTGGCAATTTGGAACCTACTACCTGCACTCGTTGAGCTTTTGTTGCCTAACTGGCTCATTAAGTAAACCAGCTAAACTACTGGTTTAGCTTGTTAAAAAATGTAAACAAGCCAATTCAAACCGAGCTATTTACAAGTTGAGCCGAATGAGTTATCCAGCTACGAGTTTTTTCATCCGGCCTACTTATGAAACTTACAGGCTGTTTGGTTTTGGGAGTGGCCCCATCCAATGTCAGCACGTCCGGCATGGGCAGCGGCGGAGCCATGAATTATATATATAGGGTAGTCTAAAATTTTGATATATATGAACTGAGCGTAGCTCGTTTGTTTAGGTTTTTAAGGTGCATTTGTTGCACTTAGAACTTTGATTTTATTACTAGTTAAGTATGCGTTCAGTAAAATGTAAAATATGATGAAATGCAAGTACCTAATATGGCAAGGCAAAAGAGTTTAAATAAATTAAAATATTCTATTTTAATTGTACTTTCTGTAAATTTGTTATCCACAAGATATCAAAAAATATATGACAATTTTTTGTTATATCTTGCTAATATAAATTGTAGATTATTAAATTATGTACTTTGTAAAAAAAAGGTTATGATGTTGTGGTGGGGTCCCCCCGGGATATGATCTACGTAGACCCGGTGTACATGAAGACGGGTCGTTCCACTAAGAAGAGCGAGGTGTATAGCTTCGGCGTGGTGCTCGAGCTCATCACTCGGAAGACGGCCAAGTAGGACGGCAACAGGAGGTCGAGCAGGGCAGCGTCAGAAGAGCAATGTACACGACAGGGACATCTTGGATTTGAGGTATTCGTACACAAATCATTCTTGTAGTAGTGGTACACCATATACCTATTATTTCGAGTTTTTTTTACTATGAAAAGGCAATAATCACGATGGAAATGACATCCAAACACCTCTCTCTCTAACCAAGAAATATAGATTCTAAATCACAATAAGAACTTGTTCGGTTTGGTGGGGATTGAGAGGAGAGTGATTTTAATCCCCTTTGAAACTGTTACAATTATCCAATCCCTTTGGATATGAAATTAACCGAACAAGGCCTAAAACTGAGATCCAAAAGGCCTGATTGAGTTTTCTGTCTTTACTATATCCATAATAAATATTACCGGTTTGTCAATTCGATTACTTCACTGTTACTTGTGGATATCTCGACACGCTGTATATAGCTTTGGGCCTTGGATATACACGTATATTATTATATAATATATATTGGTCGAGAGGACGAGCAGAAAAGCAGTCTGTGTTGAGCTTGCGCGCCATATACAAGTGATCTTTACGATCAATCGCGTTCCCAACAGGCCTGTTCGCTTGAACTTACGGACCGGCTTAGCAGCCAACAAAACAGTTCGCATGGCATGGCACGTCTTCTCCTGTTCAACGACTGGACTGCACAGCGATAACGGCTCAGTCTGCTTTTGTGTCCTCGTGGATCCAACAAACGCCAATTTTGCCCTCACTCCCCCAGCTGAAACCCAAGGGTCGCACAACATTGGACCTCGTCCGACGGCTCCAATCGCGCTAGGCGCCAGGCGCCACGACCGGCACAAAGGCCACGCCACGCGCGACAAACGGTGTCCGCTCGGGCAGCCCCCGCCCAAAAATAGCCCGCCTCCGCAAGCATATAAACCTGGCCTCGCCACCTCGTCCCTCACCGCACCACAACAAAGCAGAGACACCAATAAGCGTCAAACTCGCCACCCAGCCAGCAACCACCAACCCGAGAGAGCTAGGCACCGTACGTCCGTACCCATGGCTCGCGCTAGCGTCGTCTTCGCCATCGCTGCTCTCCTCTTCGTCGCCATGGCCGTGGCGCCGCTGGCCGCCGAGGCGAAGAAGTCCGCCGACGCCCCCGCTGCCGACGCGCCGGCCGATGGACCCAGCGCGCCGGTGGGTGCCCCTGGCCCCCAGGGCGTCGATGGCCTGTCAGGCAACGAGGACGACGACGATGATTCCACCAACTGAGGCCGGCCGAGCACGTCGTCCTAGCTTGGTTCCGAAGACGAATGGTCCGGTTGAATTTGGAACAGGACATGGAAGAAAAGTGAGAGCAATGTTGTTTGAAGTGAAGCCATAATAATGTGTGGCCGTCCGTGGATATATATGTTCTTGCTCTCCCTCTTTTTTTCTTTCTGTTTGATTTTCGATGTGTTATCTTGTTCTTAGCAACTAATTGTATCGACTCTTGATATCAAGGACTCCAGAATTTATCGTTTCTGTGTTTATGAGCCACTGAGAGTCTGAGTGTGAGACGGCGAGCGATTCATCAGTCATCATTCATGTGCATGCTTGGATCACGATGATAGTTTTAGGCTTCCCTGCTTTCCTCTGCTGCACAAAAGGCCGCCTTCTTGTTCCTCTGTTCTCAAATAGTCAAATTCCATTTATATTTCTCTTCAAAATCAACGCGACACTGATTTCCCTAGCTCTGCAATTTGCGTGGATTTTATGGGGGTTATCTAGACTCCATACTTCATAGAGCCTTTTCTGGAGCTCTTACACACAACTCAGCCAAAATGCCATGAGCTCGTAGCTACCCCGCTTTAACAATATATGGTATCTGTTTTTTTTTCCATATCTGTGGTATTTCTTATATATATAATAATATACATACCAAATTATAGTGTCAAACATTACTGTTCCGTATGCGTGCAGGACGTGTCCGTCACTAGTTTGTCCTAAAAAATGCAAGTCTAAAAGCATTCTTGATTAAAGTGTAAAAGTTTAACCAAATATATATAAAAATAAAAATACTAATGTTTTTGACATTAAATGAGTGTACTATAAAAATATATCTCATAACACATCTAATAATACTCATTTGATGTAAAAAATATTTATATTCTTTATATATAATTAGTTAGATTTGAGATATTTTAAGTCAAATACTAGTTTTGTCTAGAGGGAGTGAATACTAAAAAAAACCAGAGGGACGAGTCACGTGTCATTGCTTGGCCGGAATGGAAGTAGGATGGTAGGGTAGCGTTTGATTGAGAATTAAGGTGGGGTGGGACGGTCCCGACTCTAGTTTCTGAATGTGATGTAGACGGAACAATTTCAATTTATATTTGGTTGAAGAGGGATGGGATGAACCCATTCCCTTTTCTATTTGGTCTGGGGACATTAAAAGTGGGGATGGGATGGAGACAGAATAATTTCAATTTTTATTTGGTTGAAGAGGAATGGGACGAACCCATTCCCTTATTTAGTCTGGGACATCAAAAGTGGGATGTTCATTTATCAGTTTTTTTTTTCCTAACGCACCGGAATTTCCGCCCCGAGTCCCGTCAGAATTTCCGTCGCGGCCCCGACACGGCGCCCCGCACTCGCTCGCTCGGCGCTCGCCCACCCGCGCGCCGGAGCGAGCCCGCAGAAGCACACTGCCGCATCGCCCGAAGAAACCCCGAACCGCGCAACGCGACGGCAACCAAAACCAGCCGACGACCGACCGTTCGTATTCGTACAACCCTAAAAGAAGGGAAGGATAGCAATGCCGGTGCGGCGGCCCAGGAAGGGTCACCGCCGGATCGACGCGGCCATCGACCACTTCGCCGCCATGGGCTACGCCGCACACCACATTAGATCCGTCGTCGGTGGTCTCGTCAAGGTGATTTTCGATAGGTCTCTTCTTTTTCCCCCTGCAAGCAGCGTCGGGCTATGGCGGCACCGTAGGGTCTGGGTTTCGTGTTTCTCCGCGGATCGATCGGGGGTTCGAAATCCGCCTTTTTTGGTGCCGTGAACAGACAGTTGCAAGGCCTTCTCTTGTGTTTGCGGCGATCGGCGCTTCAATTCGAGTCTGAATGAATGAATGCACTAGCTGATTGATCAATTGTGGTTTTCTCTCTGCTATGGGCGTAGGTGTACGGGGGCCCTAGCCCTGATGTGTGGCGCCTACTGGAGGAAGGCTCCTACCAGGTTGTGCAAAACAGGCTCTTCGAGATCGAGGAAGAGCAGAAGCAGAATCAGGACGCGCAGCTGCAGCAGCAGGATGGCCAGCAAGTGGAGGATGAGCCTCCTCAGGTTGGGTGATTCCTCATTTCTTTTTGTTGTCTCTCTCAAATTCTCGCTTTCTCATTTCAGAACAACATGCCCAATATGGATCGTTTATTGCTCATACTCTGAAAAACAAAAACCACCTGGTCTCTCCTTATCGAAAGACCCATTCATGGTTTGCCCAACATGTCTACTCAAAGACCCATCATAAAAAACCACCTGCTTCTCCTCTTCCTCGATCTCGAAGAGCCTGGTTTGCCCACGACCGAGCAAGAGAGAAGGCCTTGCTCAGTTTTACCTAGTTTCAATTGTGAATTATAGACCATAATATTTAGCAATTCGAATAAGAGGATATTTGGACGTCTGAATCGTCCTGCAAACCAAGACACATCTTTTGTCCGTTACCATTCATGCCCTGATGTCCCATTGTATCCGCTCTTATCACTTCGTTGGTACCAGTCCAAGTCCCACCTAACCAGGGTTAAGTGGGGGACTTTGGATAATATATTTTTTTTCAAGACCTCATGTTAGAGGCGAATGTCATGGACCTACCTAGTGTCTAACAGCCACGCTCAGTTAGAGGCAAATCTGTTCAGTCTTCCTTATTTAGCTGATTGGATTAGTTTGGAAGGTTGGAGGAATAATAGGAAAGAAGAGAGGAATTATAGAGAGTGGTTAGCCAGGGAGACTATTTATCTATAACCCGTATTAGAGGCAAGCCCAAATTAGAAGGAAAAGCCTTCTCTCTTGCTCGGTCGTGGGCAAGGCCTCTGGTCGGCCCCCTCTCCCTCTCAACCCGATCCGCCACCATAACATCTGATATCATAGATGACAGGTCTGATGAGGGTAGCCGAAGGTGCCACTGATGCTGCCGCTGGATCCCATCGCCAAGGCGCTGGCCGACCTCGCCCAACACATGGCATCACTTTGGGCAGACCTAGAGGCCCTGGAATCTGACCGTCGGCGACCACCACTACCATGCCGCCGGTGTTCCCCTACGGCTTGCCGACGCACCCCTCGTCGTTCTCCATCGGAAGCCCTCCTCTCTTCCCTGTGAGGTGCGGACTAGTAGACATCCGGTGGGATTAGGCATGGGTCACGGGCAGGCGCGCACCACGTAGCGACGCTGCATTCCGCAATCAACTGCCGCGGGGGCGCCTCCGCTGGTCACTATTGTGGCTCGACCACCTTTGCTGCCTTCTCAGTGATGCGCATGCTGACTAGAGATGGCAATGGGGACATCCCCGAAGGGGAGTGACACACCATCCCCGTCCCCGATTTCCCTCATTTTCATCGCTCCCCGGCCTCGATCCCTGTCTCGGGGAAGACTTTCTCCCGTCCCCGTCCCCGATTGGCATTTCGGGGCCTGACAGATCTGACATCCCTGAAGCGAAGCACGCCCATTCAGAGCTGAGGATTGAGGGGAAGAGGACCACAGGAGATTGAATCTGAGAAGGACGGAGGAGTAGCCGAGCTGAAGACTAGAATCTGGGAAGGATGGAGGAGGAAAAGGGGATCAGCATGAGGATTGGGAAAGAGGGTCGAAGGAACACCGCAAAAGCAAGAGCAAGAATCGCCATGGGAGGAAGGACGACAACATCACCTTGGACTTGGGCATCGTAGCGTCGGTGTCGAGGGCTCGGCCGCTGGCGCGTCGCAGCGTTGCATGGAGGTAGAGGATCGCTACTCCATGGTCGTAAGGGCGACAGAGAAGGCGAAAGCGGTGGCTAGCGGTGAGAGTCTGGGAGAGGAGCAATGATGCTAGGGTTTCACGGTATATATATTAGTGCTACGGGCTTGGGCTGAAAATACTCTTGCTGGGCTTCTTTTGGCCTATCTTCTTGGGCCCCCAACGGATTTCGGGGAATGGGAGCTGTAGAATGTCCCCGCCCCCGCTTCCCCCGACGGGGCTGACTTTTGGCCCGTTAAGCTCCCCGTGGGGAGGAAATTTGGCCCATTTTGATCCCCTAATGGATGAATTCCCCGTCGGGTATCGGGGATCAAGGCCCCGTTGCCATCCATAATGCTGACAGCGTAGATAGGCAGAGCTCCATTTTCCTCAGCAAGATGCGTGGCTCAGTTGCTGACTTGCTGTGCCTAGCTCATTCGTTCGGATGGGGTCGGGTCTGTGCTCGTGGCTTGGGCTGGATGTGGTGGCCAAGCTGCATGGGCTGCTGTGCTCTTGTTTCTTCAAGAGTTCCGCCCATCTCCATGGCATCCAGGTGGTTATACGTGTGCAATTATTGTGTTCAGACAGTGTCCACCTTCCATTGAGGAGGCCGCCAAAATAAAAAGTCCACATCTATTTCAGGTTGAGAATAATAAACTGAGCCGAGATGTAAAAGGCTTGTTTTCAAGTTTTAGGTTTGCGTCGAGTCAAGTTATTGTTATGAACTAGTTAGGTTGTAGCTCGAGGACGAGCTGCTTGTCAGGCAGGGATGGTGTTAGAGGCGTATGTTGTCATGCGGGGCAAGAGATTCTCCCATAGAGCAAAGAAGGCAAATAGGAATTAGAAGAAAAACCCTTCCCTCTTACTTGGCCGTGGGCAAGGCCCCCAGCCAGCCCCCCTCTCCCTCTCAACCCGAGCCGCCGCCATAACAAGCAGCCAAAGGTGCGCGGCCGTTGCTGGATCCCATCGCCAAGGCGCTGGCCAACCTCGCCCAGCAGATGGCATTTCTGTGGGCGCGCCTAGGCACTGCAATCCCGACCGCCGGCGACCGCCACCACCATTCCGCCATTGTTCCCCTGCGGCTGGTCGGGCTTTGGGACGACAACCGTCTCCATGGCAGATTCGAAGATGAAGGTGCCCGCCAGGTGTTGGCGGTGGTGCAGCTGCAGGCTGCCTGCTAGTGTGTCGATGGGTGCAGGAGATGCGCCGCTGATTCAGCCTAGACCCTTTCACAGCTTCTCCAAGTTCCACATCGCCACGCGGAGGACCTTCATCTTGTTCGTCACATCGGGGATCTGGGTTAAATGCCCCGACGGCAGGCGGGGCATGCATGCAGCGCTGCAAACTCGAGTCTGCGGTGGAGGCGTTTGGGGAAGCGAACCCCTCCTCGTTGTTCTCCATTGGAAGCCCTCCTCTCTTCCCTATGTGACATGGACCGGCAGGCATCCGGCGGGGAGAAGGTGCACACCGCGTAGTGCCGCATTCCGCCATCGACTGTCGCGGGGACGCCTCCGTTGGTTGGTGTTGCGGCATGGCCACCTTGCTGCCTTCTTGGTGATGCGCATGCTGATGGCGCAGACAGGCGGAGCTCCATTTTCCTTGGCAAGATGCGTGGCTACAGTTGTTGTGCCTAGCTCATCCGTTCGTATAGGGCTGGGTCTTTGCTCGTGGCTTGGGCTGGATGTGGTGGTCATGCTGCATGGGCTGCTGTGCTCTTGTTTCTTCAAGACTTCCGCCCATGTGCGGACTGCTCCATGGCATCTAGGTGGTTATACGTGTGCAAGTATTGCATTCAGACGGTGTCCACCTTCCATTGAGGAGGCCGCCATAATAAAGAGTCCAAATCTATTTCAAGTCGAGAATAATATACTGAGCCAAGATGTAAAAGGCTTGTGTTTAAGTATTAGGTTTGTGTCGAGTCAAGTTATTGTTATGAGCTGGTAAGGTTGCAGCTCGAGGACGAGCTGCTTGTCAGGCAGGGGTGGTGTTAGAGGCGTATCTTGTCATGCGGGGCAAGAGATTCACCCGTAGAGCAAAGAAGGCAAACAGGAATTAGAAGGAAAACCCTTCCCCCTTGCTTGGCCGTGGGCAGCCCCCCTCTCCCTCTCAACCCGAGCCACCGCCATAACAAGCAGCCAAAGGTGCGCCGCCGTTGCCGGATCCCATTGCCAAGGCGCTAGCCAACCTCGCCCAGCAGATGGCATCTCTGTGGACGCGCCAAGGCCCTGCAATCCCGACCGCCGGCGACCAACACCACCATGCCGCCGGTGTTCCCCTGTGGCTAGTCGGGCTTTGGGACGACAACCGTCTCCATGGTAGATTCGAAGATGAAGGTGCCCGCCAGGTGTTGGTGGCGGTGCGGCTGCAGGCTGCTGCTCGCAGCTTGCTAGCGTGTCGATGGGTGCAGGAGATGCGCGATCTGCAGCTGATTCAGCCCTAGACCCTTTCACAGCTTCTCCAAGTTGCGCATCGCCACGCGGAGGACCTTCTATTCGTCACATCGGGGATCTGGGGCATACGGTCCCCCCAGCGACGGGTAGCGGGCATGCTGTATTGCTGTTTACCCCATGGCCTGCGAACTCAGAGTCTGCGGTGGTGGCGGTTGGGGAAGTGAACCCCTCCTCGCTGTTCTCCATTGGAACCCCTCCTCTCTTCCCTATGCGACATGGACTAGCAGGCATCCGGCGGGGAGAAGGTGCACACCGCGTAGCGCCGCCGCATTCCGCCATCTACTGCCGCAGGGGCACCTTCACTGGTTGGTGTTGCGGCATGGCCACCTTGCTGCCTTCTTGGTGATGCGCATGCTGACGGCGCAGACAGGCGGAGCTCCATTTTCCTCGGCAAGATGTGTGGCTGTAGTTGTTGTGCCTAGCTCTTCCATTCGGATGGGGCTGGGTCTGGGCTTGTGGCATGGGCTGGATGTGGTGGCTAAGCTGCGTGGGCTGCTGTGCTCTTGTTTCTTCAATACGTCAGCCCATGTGCAGACTGCTCCATGGGATCCAGGTGGTTATACGTATGCAATTATTGCGTTCAGACGGTGTCCACCTTCAATTGAGGAGGCTGCGAAAATAAAGAGTCCGATCTATTTCATGTCGAGAATCATAAAATGAGCCGAGACGTAAAAGGCTTGTTTTTAAATGTTAGGTTTGTATCGAGTTGAGTTATTGTTATGAGCTGGTTAGGTTGCAGCTCGAGGACGAGCTGCTTGTCCAGGAGATGTGTAGTGTTAGAGGCATCTGTTGTCATGTGTGGCAAGAGATTCACCTGTAGAGCAAAGAAGACAAGCTCAGCAAATCAGGAAAGTGGCAAGATTGGTGCCAAATTGAGGGCAATCCTGGGCGCACCATTAGCTGGTGCAAATTTAGAAGCTTAGCAAGAGTGATTGAGACAGAATTAAGTGGTGATTGGGCTGCCTAATGGCTATGTATACCGTGAGCTACCATGAGAATAAGCAAGCAGGAATAAAAAGAAAAATCCTTCTCTCTTGCTCGGCCGTGGGCAAGGCCCCTCGCCGGCCCCCTCTCTCCCTCTCAACCCTAGCCACCAGCATAACACCTCACATGACACCTGTGTATTTCCATGTTAAAAAGAAGTTGTTCATACAACCATTGCATATGTGCAGACTAAATGGGTTGGTAGCTTAATCCAGGAGAAAAAAAGATGCCATACCGTGGCTAGAATGACAAAATAAACTGAGCAATTTAGTAAAATATATTGACATCTTGCACACTCCTAAGTGCTGCAAGCAACCTGCTTCACCTATCTTCCACTGCAAGGCTTCTTCTCTGATGTTTTTATATCTAACTGAGATTGTGCCATATTTTGTTTGACAAACTATTCTGCTCCTTATCTCTTTCCAAGTGCAATGGTTGGTTGGTAGTTCTTTGAACTGATTTCACCACCAAATAACTTCGAGTTGGTATTAATCTTTGTTTCAAGCCAACAATCCTACTTCTGTATGTGTCCATGAACATTCGAATGCCTAAGTATGCATCGTGAACCAAAAAAAAAAGGGCAAACCCAGTGCCGGAGGCTCCCACATGAGTGAGGTCTGGGGAAGGGATAAACCGAGACAAGCCTTTCCCCCGCAAAATCTGACGGAGAGGCTGTTTCGAACCCACGACCTGGTGACTCCGTGAGACAGCTCTCACCACTGCACCAGGCCTGCCCTTCTGCAACGTGAACCAGTGTAAATGAAAAGTTTTATATCATGCTAAAGTAAATATAGTAATCATTTTGTGTTTGTATAATAATATATCTTGGATATCGCTATGACTTTCAGTATTACTATGTTTTCAGGGCCATTAAGTCCCTTACACTACAATGATGATGCCAAAGTTGATACTGGCACAATGCAGCAAACTGAAAGTTAACCAACTGTCAGTCTGTTGTTTCCTCTAACTAAAGACCTTTGGGTCATTATTCATTAATTTATGATTATGGTTTCTGTTGTCATCCAATCGACACATGCTTATGTATGTTGTGGAATTCTCAAATAGGATGATATAAATTTCAACACTGGTAGAATGCAGAAAACTAAAAAAAGAACGGTAAACAAACTGTCATGCCATAATACAGACCTTTTTCTCTAAGCAGAAACTCCGAGTCATAATATACGATTATGATTTATGTTATCTACTTGATGATGCATATGCGTGTTGTGAAATTGCTAATGGGCTCAATTCAATATGTTTTGTACATTTGTAGCACCAAGAACCAGCAGCAGACGAGGCAGTGGAAGACCCTATGTTCATTGAACCACAAGATACCATATCAATTTCAAATGAGGCACCAGCAGAGACTAAGTCAGCAGATAAGGAAGTGGAAGACCCTATGTTCATTGAACCACCTGCTCGTGAGGCTGCATTGCCACTTAATGCTGCTAGAAGGACTGGTCCAACGCGACCCTGCTATGGATGGCTTAGTGAGTCAGAAGATGAGGAAGAGGAACAACCTACTGGTCAAAAACATGAGGTGTGTGTTCTAAGTCCAGGAGAGCGAGCCCAGTAGATGGTATGTGCACCCTATTACTATGCTATTGTTGAGTTGTTACTTAAACCAAATTTCTATAAATAGTCAACATCTTGAATTTTATTGCCACTGTGACTTTGATCCACAGATGGTCACTATGGCTTATGATCTCCTTAATTATGAACTATGCATGCCATTGTCACCATGAACACGATACTAGCCATATATCACATAGCAAGGCAGGCATGCACTATTGAAACCTCCTTGTAATCAATAAGCTATTAAGCTACAAGATAGTCAATGGTGTTCTTCTGAGAAACGAACTTGCCGGTATACGTTCTCGAAGATGCTGCTGCAATGGTTTAGAATGTTAAAATATTAGGTAGAGAAAAAATTATACACTAGTGTTACTATTGGGCAAAGTGGAGTATCATGATTTTTTATTCTATGATATAGCAGTGCAGGACATATTTGAGGGTTTTTAAAACTAAAGACCTACTGGACATGACATCAGAACCTTACATTGAATTGAAACCCCCAGAAGCCTCCAGTACACCTAGTCTAGAATGACGGGAGAGCGGTGACACAGAAATGGTTGGAGATCGTGCGCTGCGAGCTAGCCTCTTGAACTCTCGCTAGCGTTTTTCTTTTCATGGTTATCTTTCATCAGTTTTGAATATAATATGCTCCTCGCTCAGTTTGGATTGCCGTTGGACACACCCTTATTGCTAAATGCTGATCCCTATGCCATATCAGGATTGCCATCTATTCTATGTTAATCTAAAATGGTTTTGCTTGTTCTAATCACTAATCCTTGTTTCTGATTTTGACAGAGTGGCTGATACCAACCTGGCAAGGTCCATGATGCTCCACTAAAGATGCAGAAGTCCAATGCTGTGTTTTTGGTGTCGCGGAAACCAAAAAAATGAGTTTCAGAAGCCTTTTACACAAGGCTACCAGTCTAGCAGAAGTATCTGACAAGTGACAATATAGAACGTGTGCTTGATGTTGATGATGAGTGTTAAGTACTCTAATAAATAACAATATAGAATGTGTGTAAGTAGAGCATGTTCCGCCAGTTTAAATAAGAGCCAACTTTGATTGAAGCAGTCTGCAGTGACATAATTTTAGCAGCTGAGAATAAGAGCTTAACTTTGATTGAAGTAGTGGCATAATTTTAGAAGGTGAGATGAGATGATGTTTAATCCAATAATCTAGGCGTTGAAATGCTTATGCAGTTGATAGGAGAACGATTACAGTGCTGGTCTCTCATTGCCTTTGTTTTCTGTCAGTGCAAAAAGAAAAAGTTCCGTTGCCGGGACTCGAACCCGGGTCTCTCGGGTGAGAGCCGAGTATCCTAACCAGCTAGACTACAACGGATTGTGTGTGAGGTCCTTCTGTATTCCTTTTATATCTAAATATGAACATTAAAATCCCACGCCCTGTACAGATTGATAATCAGCAAAATGCTACTGCTAAAATCTTCGCATTGTTGTCTAGTCCTTGTATTCCTGGGAATTAAACAAGGCCGGAAGGCCCCTCCAAGATTTTTATGCATTTTATTATTTTCTTTCTGCATTTTCAGTCATAGATTTTTTTTTTTTTTTGATAAGGTAGTCATAGATTTCTTGGTCCTGTACCAGAAACGACAAACAAGAGCACTGCCAATGAAGACTGCCTGGAAACAGGAGAGCGAGGCCACATCTTGAACCTTATCCCTCTCAATTTACCTCCGCAATGGCGCAACACACCCAGAGGAGGCAGAGGACTAGAGGCAGACTGGCAGAGCACGGCCGGTTTAGGACTGTCTGGTTGAAGGCCGATGCTTGCAGAGGGAGTCCACAAGAATCTCGTCATGGCACAAATGGCCTGTGCTTGCTGCATGCCTTCCTGCTTCCCGTCAAATGTTTTATGCTACCTCTGTGTTTAAGAATCCGTCAAACCTTCGCATCGTCGATCTGATCACGATCAAATAGATGTCTGGGATGCTCGATGAGGATGGTAAGGCCTTTTTGAGCCTCGCCAGAGCACACGATCTTGAAACTCATGTTTGTGTCTCACAGCACATCTAGAAAGCTAGCAGTGCTCTTTTATTTGGATTTTGCTATTTAGGTCTTATTTAGTTTCTCACCCTAAAGTTTACTCCCTATCCAATCGAATGTTTGACACATATATGAAGTATTAAATATAGACTAAAAAAATAACTAATTACACAGTTTACGACTAATTTGCGAGACGAATCTTTTAAGCCTAATTAGTCCATGTTTTGACAATGTGGTGCTACAGTGACACATATACTAATGAAGAATTAATTAGACTTAATAAAATCGTTTAGTGATTATTGACGGATTCTATAATTTATTTTTTTATTAGTATCAAACTGTCTATACAACAACACACGACACCACCCGAGGTGACACCCAACTTTACGTCGTGGATTTAAAAAGGCTCTACTGTACGAGCGCGGTAGCGCCCATTTTCAAGGAGCACCCGGCCGCACATGTCCACTCACCCATCCGATCGCTCGCCTCGGCATGCACACGCTCCGGCTGCCCGCTGGCGCGACCCCGACCACCAACCGCGCCCGCCCGCACGCCCCCGCCCCCGCCCCCGCGCGCGGGGCTCTGCCTCTGCCTCACCTCCCGGCGTATATGTAGCCGGCTTCCGCGCTCCCGTCATCCCGTGTCCTGCCATAGCATTAGCGCACCCGAGCTAGCCAGTTCGATCGCCAAGCCCGAGAGGCCAAAAAGACACACGTATGTCTCGCGCGCTCGCCTTTGCGGTCCTTCTCCTGTACGCCGCCGCCGCGGTGGCGCCGCTGGCCTGCGCCGATGGCGTGGAGGAGTCCATCCCCGGCGCCAAGGAGTCCGCGAGCGCCGGGTCCAGCGGCGCCAAGGTGTTCGACACGGACACGGCGGTCGGGGCCGATCCCGACCCCTCCCCGGCCAGCGGCCTGCCGGCCGACCCGGCGCCCGACGCGCGCCCCTAAGGCCACGGCCACGCACCGTCGTGGTCGTCCCCGTTTCCTCCGTGTGCGCTTCACGCGTCGGTACTCTTCTCGTTCTCGCGTTGGTTAAGACGTAGTAGTACTTACATGAAGTCATTCATGAACACCACGCGCCTTGTACATGTCTCTGGAATGTTCAACCTGCATGTGTTTTTCTTGCGAGCGTTTTTCTTTGTTAGTCGTCGATCGATCGTGAATCTGAATCCGTCACGCAGCAGTGAGCTGAGCATTCTGCTGTCAGTGTGGAGCTTGAGTTCGGTTCCATGTAGCTCCAGCCAGGCCACCGGTGTGAAATAAATTGGACATTTGATTGTTGAAAAACACAGCTTATGTTGTTTTGAGATCGACGCTGCCATCTCCATGTTTGTACAGCATGACTATCGAAGCCATTTTTTTTACTGTGGACAACGTTTGCCTTCCTCTCAAAAAACAGTTACCATCAACCTGTTCGGTTGGCTGGTTCATATCGTTGTTGCTGGTTCGTAAAGAAGTACTGCTGGCTGATTTGTGTGAAAGAAAAATATTGTTCTAACTGAAAATTTACGATCATTTACGACAAGCCACAGCCAAACGAAAGTTACCATGTTGGTGCAAAACAGTGCATAGTTTAAAGGAAGATTAATAAAGCATTTCATACTGTTTACTGTATGTGAAGTCTTGATTCATATGGAGTATGCATTCACCGGGTCTCAGAAGACCGACACAAACTCTCGATCAAACTTTTCCGCAAAGTGTAAATAAAGTCCATGTGAGAGCTTGATCAATGCCAGCTTTCATCCAACAGAACTCCATGCATGCGTACAGAAACGAAGTTGATTTTATACAGTTGCATTGCCCATGGACAAACGAATTTGAGTATTAAAGTACTCACGCCTGCTGTACCTGTACCCATTTCTTTGGCCTTTCTCCTTTCAATATGCCGGAGGATCTTGCGGAATATCATCTCATCTCCGGCAATCTTTGATCCCACACGCGAGATGCTTTGTGGCACGCCTTGAATTTGAATATACTTTAGACTCCATCAGCGGAGACGCTTATCTGTAAAGTGACCACACACAGTGATTAATATATGATACACAACACATTATCATGGTAAGCATGGTGCCTTTAATACAGTACGCACCACAGTATTTTTTTTTCTCTCTCTCAGCTCGACTGACTGGTTTAAGCTTATCACTGCCACTGGTCTACCTCGTGGAACACTGGAACCCTGTTATGCGGTTTATGCTTTATACTAGCAGCCTGTTCGGGAAGGCCGTATCGTATCGTGGATTATTTACTGCTGGCTGGTTTGGTGTGAGAGAAAAACACTGTTCCCGACTGGAAATTTACGATCGTTTACGAGCAAACGAACAGGCTGTAGATTTTTACACTACTTAGGATCATGTCTTGCATTGCATTGACAGATCTGTAGGCAAGATGATTGAGCTATAAGAAATTTTCAGAATTTCTTTTCAAAAAAAAAAATCAGAATGGGTTGTCGAAACTGTCGATCACTCATGTTTAAGTGAGATCCAATTGATTATGTGTCTCTTCTGACTGATTGAATATAAGTGGCAGCATTAAGGAAAGTCATCATGGTATCAGTCGTTGTAGATTATGGGCCTGTTTGGTTCCGCAACTCACGAACGCGCGACCGTGTTTAAGCTGAGCGCCTCCGAGGCCGCGTTTTGGGAAACGCCCGCCCGCGTTCGTTTCCAACCGGACATCGCGCGTTGGTCGCAGTCCGTTTGGCGGGATTTTTGACTTATCTCGATCGTAACGCGCAGATACGCGGAACCAAACACGCCCTATGACTGGCGTGAGACATCATTCCCAAAGAGTACATTCTGCATCCTGAGCCTGTGCATTTTTCAATCTAACCGTTCAAAGGCTACACAAAAGTATTGTTACATTACATGGTGACTTTTGTACAGTAATACAGAGGATTCCTGACAAACGGAATTCTAGCATGGCAACATTTGCACACTGGACAGAGGATTCATTTCAAATGGAAGTTCTATGGGAACTCTAGTCTAGGGAGGCTCTATTTCTTTGATACACCTTCTTGTCTGTATTCTTCTAGAGCCTAGCCCTTGTTGCTTTTTTTTTTTTTGAAACAAATAGCCCTTGTTGCTTTTGCTATCCTTGATTCATATTCCATTCCATGACACCAGGAATGTGAATTTCCATAAATAACTTCTCCCAATTGATGAACTTGATGTCACAGGGGATCATCTCTGTGTCTCTTTCATCCATCATCGCGATAAGCTTCTGCATGTTGGAGTCATCATCATCAAACCAGCAAGTGCAGCACAGGGTCACAAAATGGGAACAATTCTCGATAAAGAAATGGCCTACACTTTCTTCTTGGAGCTATGCCAATCTTACCTCCCTTTGAATAACGTGACCGGCCAGTATGCCTCTGCAACAGCCACTGTTACATCATATTCTCTCTTGAGCCTAATAATGCAAAAAAATGCACTGATATTGTAAAAGGAAAAGGCTCACATGAGGCGTGAGTGGAAGAAAACTAACTTCCATCTAGGTGAATGGGAAGATTCCTGAGAGGTGCCTGGCCGCCTGCTTCCTCAGCATCCGCTCCGAGAAAAAGGCCTTTAGGTCAGCTTCATACACAAATTGTAGTTCATACAAGAAAAAAATGGGTTCAATTCTTGTGTAAGATTGACTTTCGAGAAAGAGACCTTTAGGTCAGATTTCTAGACAAACTACAGTTCAAATAGGAAAGAAATTGGCTTGATTCTTGTGTAAGAATTAAGATGGACTGGGAAGTCCTGTTGTCTGCAATGTGATTATGCTTTGTCTTCTTGCATGCGTACAAATTGACAGATTCACTGCAGCATTATAGCAAAACGCACAGAAAGGCATCCACCCATCGTTTTTATTGCCACAGTGTAAAAACAATGCCTGATCCAATGTTTGAAAAGAATAGTGCAGCAGATATGTAGCATGGTGAATTATTTACACTGCTGTGAAGTAGTATTTGTTAGAATTTATATGGGCTAGTAACAGTATTTGTTTCAAATGGAAGTTAGGTTCTATGAGACTGATTTTCAGAGCTTGTGTGAACTCTTTTAAAGCCTAGCCCTTGTTGCTTCCCTTGATTCACATTCCATGACACTAGGGAAGTGGATTTCTTCTTCCAATTAATGAACTTGCTATCACAGTATCAGTTCTCTGTCTCTTTCGTTCAAAAACGTGATAAGCCTCTGTACTATGTTGGAGTCATCAAACCTGCAAATTCAGAACAAGGGTAAAAAATGGGAACAGCTCCTAATCAGGAAATGGTTCGTGGTTTCCTTCTTGGAGCTATCTCTACCCTACCTCCTCTTGAAGAATGTGCCTGATTCGAACACTTCTGCAACAGCCACTGTGAAATTGTACTCTCTCTTGAGATGGTTGTATCTGTCTTGCTCCTCAGCGGTAGATAATCCGCGGCGTACCATATCCTGCATCTGAAAATAATGACATGCTCTGGGAGAAAATAGCCACAGAATTCAAAGCTGAAGTTATATCTAATTAAAAACTAACCTCCAAAGGCATTTTGTAGTATATGTTCATGTGCTCATAGAAGCTGTCCATTGTTGCTGGCACAACCAGCTGTTTCACCTTGATTACCTCTCCCTCTGCACTAACAAATGGTCTCTCCAAGAAGTATCTGAACATTGCATGTACCAGATCGCCAATCTTGAGAGGGTTGCGCATGGAAGAACCAATATGGTAGATCAAGTCTAATGGTCCTTGAGGGTGGCAACTGATGATACAAAGCATCGCATTGATCACAATGTCTGCAGGTACCTATAAGTCATACATATAAAATAATCACTTGTAATGATTTAAACTAGTGTAGCCTCTATGATAACCTAGTTCCCTCTACAACTAAATTCTTCAAGCTGAATACAGGAAGAGTGTATCGTACTATGTCCATGATAGTTGTGACATCTCCAGGAAGAAACTTTAGATGCCCCTTACCATAGTTAGTAACCCATACGTCAATTGTTCTGCATCGGTTTCACACAGTATATTTGAAAGTGAGTTGCCTATGATGACAGAATGGAAGTTCTTGAAGCAATCAAGTGAGAACATATGGTTCAGGATGCTGAGAAACTGACTTGATTCCTTCTTTCCATCCAGGAAAAGGCTCCATCAACGTGCTTGTTGTGGAAGTTGGGCGGACGATGACGATTGGGAGCCGTGATCTGTGTTCATATGCCAGCATCTCAGCCATTGCCTTTGTAAAAACATAGGTGTTCATCCATCCAAACTTCCGAGCCCTGTTTAGCCACCACAGAGATTTTGAGACATCGGGGCAGCGGTCGCACGCTCCGGTTGCAATCGCGACCCCATCCGTACGGCCGAGGATCTCTCAAGTCGAAACAAATTCAGAATCTTTGCCCGACAGGACTACGGGAGGGGGAGCGGAGCGATCCGACGATAACGCGGTGTGGTGTGCCTTCAGTTGCGGGCGATAGGCAGCGGGAGCGAGGCGTGCTCCGGGCGCAGCGGGAGCGAGGCGATTAATTAGCCCACGACGATAACAATAGTAATTTTTTAGTGTACTAGATATATGTCCCCGTGTGTTATACGGAGCTACGCTTTTTTTACCACGTCTACTGTGAAGGGTTTGACTATTTTTAGAAAATAATTAAAAATGATGAAAAGATTTTACATTGGCCACCTAAACTATTTTCCAAAGCATTCAGACTTTTTGATAATATTCAAAATTAATCGACACCCATGTCAATTCTTTTGTTCTAGAGCGAGTATGGACCCGACATCGAGCCTCTTTCGGTCCGCACAAACACACTTATATTCGAGACTTTGGAGTTAACAATTTTCAGGCTTTTCCGATTGATTTTTGAGCGGACTGTCTATGGGTTGTAGATGCTCTTAGACTTTCTGGGATTTATATTTCACACGCAGTTACATGGTTAAACTCTCTGGTTGAAAGGAACTTAACAAAATTCGAATTATAATTTTTTTGGTTTGAATTTGATTTTATATTGAATTTTATAAGTTTGAGTCAATCTATGCATTGTTTGAAAGGAACTTAACAAAATTATTGGCTTATAATTTTTTGGTTTTTTCACCAGAATTTGATTTTATATTGAATTTCCATATAAGTTTGAGTCAATCTTTGCATTGTTTGGGAAAACAAAGATTGAGACATCAAACAAAACACTTTGTATAACTGGCTATTATTCGTTTGGTATGATATATTATTATTTTGTATATTTTTCACCTTGAACCTCCACTTTTTCCTATTGCTGCATCAGCTCCTTTCTGAATTAGATCTCTAACTCAGAGACTCCCCGCCGGCCGCCGTGCCCCTGGATGACCGCGTCGCTCCCACCGACTGCTTCCATGGCCGCGGTGTCTTCTTTCTGTGACAACGACCGCTGCACTTACCGTCATCTCTACCGTCTCTCCGGTTCTTGGTGCTCGGTTGATGCATGCAGCAGCGTTGCAACCCTCCACCATGCACCAGGTGCCGTAATGGCAGCAGCAGGTCGTTACGATAAATTGACCAATGAGACATCTCCTGCCACAGGGAAGATCTTGTCCCAGAACCATGAAGTGAAATGATTTTGGTACTTCTCTCGCAAAGACAGAAATATCTGAAGTTGCATAATCTGGCATGACAAGTAACAGGACCAAGGGAAAAAAAGATGAACGGGATCAAAACTTAATTAAATCACACAACTTAATCACAATACGATAAAGTCCCTAAGGCGGCGTGAGATATGAACACAGAGCAACGAAGAGAAGAGGACGACCTCGGATCGAACTCGCTCCGTTGCAGAAACCTGGTCACGGGCGCGCACGAGGAGGTACAGCCTCTTCACCCGCGGCTGCAGCTGCAGGATCTTCTCTACAAGAACTGCAGCTCATAACCCAACAAATCATCAAAGTTTCGGTCGCAGAACCTCCCAAACAACAAACTACAGTAAAGATTCAAGCCGTTGCGGTTACGTTTCGCTATGATTCCGATGGCGCCCGTGATGAGGACCGTCTTGCCGTGAAGGCGCTCCGCGACCCCGGCGGGTTCCATGGCGAGCACGGACGCCAATGGCGTGCTCTGTGGTCTCCCTACTCCCGAAGTCCCGAGACGGGTAGTAATGGTGGTGGGGCTTGGGCTATCGCCTACTAGCGCCTAGCGGGGACGCCGGATTGGGAAAAAACGGAAAGTTTCCTCCTTGACGGGCCGTACGTGTCAGTCAACATTGCGTGCGGCGTGTCGCCGTAGCATACACTGGCAGGTGGGACCCACCCCGCACGGAGGAAGTAGACGGACCCACCAGGCATTCCCAACGCGCGCCGCGCGACAGAGAGAGACACATCAAAGATCCAGCCATCCAGGCCGTCCGAGTCGGACCACCGACTCCCGAAACGGTAATCGCCGCTCCTCCAGTCTCCAGCCGTCCAGTGTCCCCCACAGGCCACAGATCTCGTCTTCCCATTCCCCCCTTAGCCTCGGCCGCCCTCCTGCCGATTCAAAATTTTCGAGCCTTTCGCCGCCGTCTCCACACCCGCTAGCCGTTGCCGGCCCTCTTCCACCTCCATGCCCAAACCCTAGGCCCCGCAGCGACCTCCGCGAGAGCCGAGCCGGTCAGCCATGGAGCACCTGTTCATGCAGGCCTTCGAGAGCAAGGACCGGGTGGCCGCGCAGGTGCAGCAGCACGCCGACTCCTACTCCAGGATCCTCGCCTGCAACCTCCTCGCCGCTGGTCACCAGCCCCCGGAATGGCTCCTCCCTTCCGCCACCCTGCCCCAAGGTGCGTCCCAACTGCTCCCTCTCCCTCCCTTACTCTTCCGTCTCCGCGCTGGTGATTCGGGCGGGTTCCTGAGCGGGGGCGGTGTGGATTTTGTTGCCCGATTGGGGCTGATCTCGATTCGGACCAGGGCTCGCGTAGCTCCACTGGTAGGGTTGGTGGATAGTGCTGATTTGAGCTTAGGTTGCCCTATAGCAGGTTGTAGCTAACTAGAATTTGGTTCTAGTGATAACAGTTTGTGTGAGATTAATTTGGTTAGCTCCTCCGTGTTTTTTAAATGCGAGATACTTTGAGTTGAGTTGTCTGTGTAGCGTGTTCGTTTTCAGTAGCAAGGAGGCCATACGCTTAAAATTCGCTGGCTAGTAATAAAATGGCTATACTTTCCCTCGTATTTGTGTCAAGATGGTCATGACAGCAGTAATTTGCATCCGAGAAGCGCTGCGGATGAGGATGATGTTACTTAGATTTAGAGAAACCTAGGGTTTTGCCTTTTGGTATGATGACTACAACTGAACATTAGCATAACTAAATATACACGTTATGGTTTGTTGTTGCCACTATATTGTAATTTCAATGGTTCCACAAGTAATATTATTTTCAGCTAACAAATGAAACAAAAAAATTATGACTCTGTTCGTTTTTTTTGGGGTCTGTGGTACTACTTATAAACATTTGTAACATTGAAATACCTAAGTGTTGTGCCTCAATCATCATCGAATGTTCCTACATTATATTTAACTTTTATGCTGTGAATGTTGTTTCGTGTTATCCATTTGTGCACTGTTACTATCTTGCATTTTACTCATATATATTGAAGTACTCCATTTATGTGTAGAGCTGAATGGCAAACCAATTGTTCTGACTGGAAGACAGATTACAACACCAGCCATCAATAGGACTGTCTTTCTGCCTCTAGCTGTTCCTAGCACTTTGTCCACAAAGTCGGGGGATCCAAATGGATATGATGCCTACCAAGGCACTAGTTGCACTGCTCTGGGTACTACTAACCAACATGAAGAGCAGCAGCAAGAGCAGGCTTCGCTTACCCAGGAGCTTACTGAGTCTTGCACTGCAGCCAAATTGTTTTCAAGGATTCAGCGTTCCAGGTCAAGGCAAAAGCATATTGAAGATCGCCTACATGGAGGAGATCGAGCTGCAAAGAGTGGAAGCTGTGATGGTATGCAAGATGGGATGCATAAGTCTAACCTTAAGACTGTGGGGTCAAACAGAGCTGCTGCATCATCATCTTCCGTGCCGTGTGATGATGTCCCAGACCGTGCTGAAACAACATCAGGTTCAGGTCAGGGTGGTGGTTTTTGTGCCATTCAAGGGAAGTCAACTGACTTCTTGAAGTGCGACAACAATCCTGAAGACCAAGGAGTTAAGTTAGATGGTTTCCCACCGCTGATTGTAGAGAACAAGATTATCTGTTCTGATAGCGACGTCGGGGTCAGTAACAACTGTTCTGTTAGAGATTCACCAGGTGTGCCACTTCCAGATTTCTCTAAGCCAAACACTGCAGATAGTGTGTGCCATCGAATTCCTGAAACTCACTTATTGGTTGAGCCAAAAATACTTCAATTTGATGTTGCTGAATCAGTTTGTATGAATCCTTCCAGTGAACAAACAGGTCAGCAACAGGAATCTGGTCTGAAAAGTGACCATCTTGATCTTGCTTTTACAAATATGTCAAGTGAAGACCCATCTTCTACCAGCTCTCAGGGACCTCATTCTATGGGAAGGTTGTTGCTTAATCATGTTAGGTCAGGACATTTGAACCATGACAGTGCATCAGTGATGCAGCACCACAAATATACTTCAGAATGTGGCCATCCTGATCTTACTAGTATGCCTTCTCCAAATAAGAAACCATCTTCGACGTGTTCTGCTGAAGTACTGAATTCTACGGGTGAACCATTACTTCATAAGAATACAGAACATATTCCTGAAACCAATTCTTTGGGAAGAGCATACCCCAAGGTCAACCAACCACTTAAAATAGATACATTGAAGAGTAATGAAACCAATTGTTCTGTGGTCAACTCACTGCTTGATAATGATACAATGCAGGTTATTGAGGATACTGACAAACCGAAATCTCATGTCTCACCTCCATACAGTGGACCTTTGCAGCAACCTACCCAACTAGCTGATGCAAGGTTTGGGGCTCATACATCACCAGGAATATCACCGAACAGTTTGTTAGGGGTGGATGGCTGTAATCACCTTTCAATTTTGCAGAAAGATGACACAAATAACCGATGCTCCCAAGACAGATCTGCTGAGCTGCTTCCACCTCATAATTTTATTTCCACTGATGCTTGTCAATCAAGGCACTTGTCTTATAGAACACAAAGTAACGACAAACATTCCAATGGTGCTGCTGCTGTGAATGCCTCTAAATCTGCAGATAGTGAGTTATCTCAGGAACAGTATTTATTAGTCAGACCATCTT